GGTAAATAGAAAATCTGGGCTTCGGCCAACTCTGTCTGACTCCAGAGCCTGCCTTCTGTTCACCTCTCCCTGCTGCCTCAGGAAGTCCTGGAACATTTCTCGCTCAGAGCTTCTGTCTTTCCAGTTCTGGTTTTTAGACGGCTCTGTTTTAGGCCAGACTGCCCATTTTAATCAGGGCTGACTTCACAGTCGTGTGCCTGGTATAGCACACACTGCTCTCACCATCCTAGAATTTGTGATTTTTGAGCAAGGGCCCCTGGTTCTGTTTTGCACTGGCCCTTGGAGCTCTGCAGCTTGCCTGCGCCAGCAGGGAGATAGGGCATCCTCTCCCTGGGCTCTGGGTGCCTGGCCTGTTGGGTGGAGGCATTTGAAGAATGCACTCCGTCCTGGCCTCAGTCCTGCTACCTGGCACACTGGACTGGAGTTGTTTACCAGCTGATGTCTCCTCCTAGCCAGCCACCAGGCCTCTTGCTGGCAAAGACCCTGACCTTGGCTCGTCGTCACCACCATGTCCCCTCATCCAACAATGTTGCTGGAGCAGCCCATGGAGAGACGGCTGGGGACAGTATGCAGAGCACCGGGTCAGGTCAGGAATGTGCTGCTGACCTGCCTTCTAGGCCTCTCTACTAGTCTGGGCCTCTTTGCTCTACTCAGGGCACGAAGCCGTTTTGTGTATTGAGGGTTGTGCTCATTGACTATTTATTCCTCTAGCCACACTGAGTATTTCTTGGCAGTTTGCCTCCCTGGGTATTCCTGGTGCCTAACATTGTGCCTGGCTCTGTAACCAGGACGTTTGTTAAGCAGTTGCTCCTGTGTCCGCTCCCTGCTAGGCTGATTACAGGGAAGGACAGTCTCTGACCTCTAGGAGGATCAGATGCTTAATACACGATTAAATGATTCATGCAGCAGCTGACCTCCAGGTTGGGATGCTCAGAGCTGGGTACACAGAAGGCTTCCTGGGGAGGGGGACTGGGACTGGATTTGTAGCTTGAGAGTGGGAGGAAGGGGCACTTACAGGTCGTGCTTAGGAGCCTAAATGTTTTCTGAGGGTTTGCAAGGCCAGGTATGTTTTATAGATTATACAGTTTGGGCTTTATAGGTTAAACAGTTGTTGCTGTTCCCTCTGCAGAGGGACCTTGGGGACAGAGCGAGGTCATTCAGCTAGTGGGGTCCTTGGCCTCCAAGTTGAGACCTGTCACTTGTAGTCCAGGCTGCTTCCTAACCAGATCTGTCCCCGAGGTCACAGAGACCTCATTTGGAGGCAAAAGGAGGCTTGAAGGAAGTCGAGGTGACAGTGACCATGGTGCAGTGTTGGAAGTGGAGAGGAAAGGTCACATTTGAGAAATTTGTAGAGACAAGACTTTACAGTCTCTAAACAAACAAGTTGTTCCTTGGAGTGCTGATGTATTTTGTGTTTATCCTGGAAGCTGGGGACATGAACCTGTGTTGCAGGGGAACTGTGTTTTAAGAAGTTGGCTGGGCCAGGGGAGTCTGACATTCTTGGGGACAGAATGTGAATGTGGCCTCCTTCTGGGTCAGAACCCTAAAGCTCATGATAGCACAATAATCCCAGTTATTGGATTAGAGTGAGTAACCCAACATGGGTATTTTTAAGTGGCCAGTGGGATTGGGAGAGAGTCTAAACCCAAAGTACAACTTTGCAGTTTAATTTTAACTGTGCACTTTGCTCACACCCAGGACTTGGCAGGCAAAATGGGCTCTTTTTTTCTTCCTTTTTAAAGCAGAACACACCCTGGATGCAAAGGGGATGTGCTTGTCACATGGAAGGGTTAGAGCCCAGCCCACTGCCAAGTACAGAGGAAGTGGGTTGGAATCTAGCAGTTCCCTATGATGACAAGCGTGTCCCAGGCCTGGAAACACAGGAATGTGGCTTCAGGGAGGCCAGCAGGCAGGCGCCTGTCTGGGATGACTTCCATTCACAAGCTGACCATGAGGCTGGTGGTCTTGTTTTATCCTGTTCATCCATTGTAGACACTTCCCAGGCAGCTCATTTACCTTTTGTTTGTTTGTTTGTTTATCTGTTTGAGACAGGTCTTGCTATGTACTTCAGGCTGGCCTTGAATTCACTGTGTAGTCCAGGCTGGCCTCAAACTTGTGGGTGACCCTCCTGCCTCAGCCTCCCGGGTGCTGGAATGACAGATGTGTGTCACCATGCCTGGCTTGCCTTTGGGTTGTGACATGTAGCATGGTTTGGGTTTTTTGGTGACACCAGCAAGCTTGAGGATGTAGGCTCCGGCCCCTCCCTCTCTTCCAGTCTCACCCTTAAGCAGTGTCCTCTCCTCAGGAATGCATAAACTGCGGGGATCCCAGAAACTTCCTCTGTCCCCTCAGAAATGCAGATTTCCTTGGCCTCCTCCACCCAGCTGTGACCAGCACCATCTGCAGTCTCACTGCCATCTGGAATCCCAGCACTCTGGGAGGCTGAGGCAAGATCACAAATTCTGCCCTAACCTGGGCAACTTACCGATTTACCGATACCCTGCCTCAGCATTAAAAAAAAAAAAAACAGAGTTGGGGATTTTGTACAGTCCAAAAACTATGAGTTCAATCCTTAGTAATACAAAGGGAAAAAGCAAGTTTCCCAGGGGAATGGAAGCAGCCTTTGTCACCCCTGCTCTTTGGGCACTCCTAGGTCTGTCCTCCCTCCTGCAGCTACATGAGTTAGGGCTAGGTTCAGTTCTGTGCTTTGGTTACGGAGGAAGTGTAACCAGGATGGGGACCTCTGGGAGTGGTGCCCACCCAGTTGGCAGAGCTGTTAGAAGAGGGGCTGAAAGGAAGCAGTGACAGCCAGGAGAGCCTGTGGCGTCCGTCAGGTGGGGTCTAGGGGATCGTGTACCCTCCTTTTAGGAGTGTCCTACTTCCGTATCTTGTGCCCCACTGGCCACTCTGGCCCAGCAGTCTCCTTCCTGTGACTGTCCTGGGTTTGAGACGGGCTCTGATGAGGCTCTCTTGAGGGGAATGCCCCATGGGTACCCTGTGGAATGGCTCTGGGAATTGACTAAGACAGCGTGTGAAACCCCTATGATGTGCCTGGTGAGGACCCAAGAATAGCCAAGGACAAAGTAAAAATGCATTAATTGTAGTGGCTGCTCTATGGTCCCTGAGAGGAGTGGCCTCCTGGTGCTAGAGTTGGGGACCAGCCTGGCCTGGTCAGTGCTCTGAGCCCTGCCCCCAATGGCAGAGTGGCAAAGGATCCCCTTGACCCCCTGCCCACCCTGCACTGTGGGCCCATCACCCAGGCCCTCCTGTCCTTGGGTAAGGACAGTAAGAGAAACACTTGACCAGTCTAGAAAAACCACAGGAAGGCTGCAGTTTGAGGTGGCCTGGAATCTTTCTTCATGTTTGTCTTTCTCTAGTGGGGCTTCAGGAATGCCCAGGGCCTTCCAGGAAAGTAGTGGCACAGCAGCTGTGGCCCTGTGCCCCCAGTTCCCATCACTAGAGGAAGACGGCTCCCCTCCCCAGAGTCGCTGACCGTCTACTTGCCCGTCTCCTAAGCCCTGGCTTCCTGGCTCCGTGCTGCTTTCCTGCCCTGGGCAGAGGCCTCCCAGAATTTCCCCCAGGCACTCTTCCCGGTGACCTTGAGAAGGTGGCCTGACCTGCTTGCTGCTCATCTGGCCTCTCTTGGGGACCGAACGCCCCCTCCGCCCCGTGTGTACCCCCAACCCTTGCTGGCCAGTGCCCAGGCTGAGAGATTGTGAGCTCAGGGAGAAGCTGTCTTTCCCCTCTGGCCTCTGCCAGATGGAACCCAAAGACTGCTGCTGTCCTGGTGGGGCAGCATCATCCTCCACCCACTTGGGGGAGTGGAGGCAGGGCAGCTGCAGGGTCCCACCAGGCACTAGGTTTAGCCAGCTCTGCCTGTGGTCCCCTGCTCTGCCTCTGGCCTGGGGTGGGCCCTGCTCCACCTCCTCCTGCAAGTCTCCTGCTGTCCCAGAGATGCCCTGGTCAGGGACTGGCGTGGGGCCAGCGGGGCGACTAAGGAGGACAGGCCTGTGCCCAGTAACCTGTGGCAAGAAATCACTGGGGCCTGTGGCTGGAGCCCCTGGGTGAGAGGCGGCATATCCAGTGCACATCACTGCTTCTGGGAGGGTGACACACTGTGTCCTGGGCTGGAGGAACCTGGCGAGGAGGGGCCACCCTGAGGCTCCTGCCAGCCCTCAGAGGCCAGGTTCTCCAGCAGTGGGTCTCCCCTCGGGATGGGGGTCGGTAACACAGAGCTGGCTGCTGGTTTCCCCTTCAGCTCATTCCGCCCCTATGAGAGGGTGGCTTTTGATGAGGTCTTTCCTTACTAGAAATAAAGCATTAGGTCCCCTGTTCAGGTGTAGGCTGGCCAGGGAGCAAGCAGGTCCCAAAGGCACTCTCCGGGTCTTGCTGGCCTCCGCTTCGCATGCAAGGCTCAGGAGCCCCTCGTGGCCAGTGGCTTCTCCCTTGGACAGCACAGGACATTGCCTACCTAGTGGGAACAGTGCTGATCTAGGGACAGTTAGAGGAGTCCCTGGTCTACTGCCCCTGCCATGGCGCAGACCAAGTGGGTGACCACAGTGCCAGTGCCAGGTGGGCAGGCTGTGGCTGGTGCAGGGAGTGGGTGGACTCCAGAGCTCAGTCGGCCTGGGCCATGGCGGGGGGTGCAGGGCCTAGGGGCCCCTAACAGTGTAGTAGCTGGAGCTGTGACACTGCATTTCATTAAGGGCGGTGGGTGTGGTTGGAACCAGACCCTATCAAGGGGTGTGACTTATGACAGGGTGGTCTTCTCTGTTCCCTCCAAGGCCCCTCTCTAGAGCAGGGTCTGCTCACCCCATGCTCTCTCACCCCAGTGCTGGGAGGGCAGAAAGACCAGGTGGGCAATTCCATCCTGCTTGTTGAGGACATAGTGACTGCAAGAGCCAGAAGCAGCAATGACACTGCTGGTGGGCATCCTGTCCTGGCCATGCCTTACCTCGGGCCCCTGCCTGTGTCCATTCACACAGCCTTTCCCTTTCCAGGTGAAAGAACTCGTCCTGGACAACTGTCGGTCAAATGATGGCAAAATTGAAGGCCTCACAGATGAATTTGAAGAACTGGAATTCTTAAGTACAATCAACGTTGGCCTCACCTCAGTTGCGAACTTACCAAAGTTAAACAAACTCAAGAAGGTAAACAGTGCCCTGTGCGCTGGGCGGCAGGGTGGGCAGAAGGGGGTTGGCACTGGGTGTTGGGGAGTGTAATTGTGGGCAAGCCCGGGCGCGTGCACAGACATGCCACCCAGCTCCCGGGTCTGTTCTCCCGCCCCTGCAATCTGGGAGAGCCTTCATTTTCAAAGCCCTTTCTGCTTTTTCCCCCTGCCTTGTTTAGCTTGAACTAAGCGATAACAGAATCTCAGGGGGCCTGGAAGTATTGGCAGAAAAGTGTCCGAACCTTACGCATCTAAATTTAAGTGGCAACAAAATTAAAGACCTCAGCACAATAGAGCCCCTGGTAAGTCATTTGGGTCCTGCCATCTGCGAGGGGACAGGAGGTGGGGAGGAAGTGGTATAGGGAATAATTCTTTTACATTTGTATAATGCCATTTTTTCATTTCTCTTAATTTCTTTGACTCTTACTGTGTGCTAGGAGATAGAATGGGAGCTTGTATTTTTTTTAGTCCAGGGAGAAACTGAGGCCCAGAGAAGTTAAGTAGGTGGACCAAGGTCACACAGCCAGAAAGGGCACTCAGCATGGCTGATCTGAACCTGGCTTCAGTTTCCTCTCTGGAGCTTTTCCCGTGTAGTCTTTGCTGAACTTTGGAAGCCTGAGCTGCATTTCCTGGGCTCAGAAATTGAGTTGGCCCTGAATGTGGATTCCTGTTGCTTCTCAGGGTTGCTGGCCAGTGCTGGTGACTTACTTGAGTGGTAGGATGTGGGTCGGAGGTGACCCAGAACCCCAGGGCAGCAGAGCTGTGTGGTATGAGAGCCTAGTGCAGGCTGCAGCCTGTCTGTATGGACAGCATCCCTGGCCTGCCTAGTGGTGACCGCAGCCTCAAGACCTGGCTAGCATTTCTGGCTCCTCTCTCCTCACAGAGCTGGGTACACTTCGGACTTCAGCTGGTCTGTCAGCTAGAAAGGGGCAGGTCATAGAATACTTTCTACATTACCAAGATCTGAATTGCTATATTCCTTAGATTTTAAGGAAATCAACTACTAAGATGTGTCATTGGTTAAACAATGGCTCTTTGGAAATAGAGAAATGCTTCCTCATTAGGTAAACTTGCCTATTGTAAATACACATGAAAGAGTTACTTCATAAAGCAGGTATCCAGTCAGGGAAGGCCCAGGCGACACCGCCAAGGTAGCCAGGTTTGCCTGTGCTGTGTCTATCGGGTGGAGGCTGGGCCTGGTTTGTGGGTTCTTGACCACAAAGCACTCCTTGCTCTCATGGATGCCGAGGGCTCCCCTGGGTGGGCCAGGGTCTCAGAATGAAAAGCTGGCACTTATCACCAAGCTGAGGCTTCCCCTGTCCGTCTGTCCTGCTTCCCACAGGACCGTTCCGTCCAGGTCTTCTGAGGATCTCCTAGGAGGCAGGACTATTTTAATCTGCCTGGAGGTCTTACTTTCATAATTTCACTAAGAAAAGAAAAACCTCCCATGTTCTGTCTACGTGCATATTGGGAATATGATGGAAGGCCAAGCAGTGTGAGGACTGAGCGTGTAAAACACTGCGTTTGGGTTGCTCTGAGATCACACATATGCACGCACTCACACTCACACGCTCTCTTCCTGCTTCCCTGTGCCCGAACCACACATGTCGCAGCAGCTCCCCCTCCTCCATCAGTGTGATGTGTTCTCACCCCGTGAGTGGGAAACTGCTTTGTGGGAAGGGGGTGCTGGGCCCACCCACAAAGACCGCAGCCCACACTTCCCCGATTTTGTTCCCTCTGGGCCTCCATCTCAAAGTCACCATGCTGGAGAGCCAATTTGGCCCTGTGGGCCAGTAGCTTTCCTCCCTCCCTTCCGAAGAGGAACTCTGCTGGGATAGGGTCTCTGGTACCTGGCACCTTGAAGATGGGTGAGTTGGGAAGTGGGGATGCAGCTCCGTCACTTGGTAATGTGAGACTTCTCCCTTCCTGGGGTGTCAGTTTCCTCCGCCATCCAGCAGGGACAGCATGGGCCAGGACAGATCTGGTCCACAGCTGTGACAGACATTCTGTTAGGTGTCAGAGACAGAATCTGGGTCCTCCATCGGTTTTTCTCTGTCCTCTGTGACAAGTGTCTTTTGTACAGTCAGAACACAGATCTGTCCTCTTCCCCATCTGGAAAACGAACCGATAATTATTGCTACTTCACAGGGGTTGAAGGATAAATTGACTTAATACATGCAGCACTGTGTTAATTGCCAGGATGGTCATTACTTAGTGCAGGAGTGAATGAGTTCATGTCACCTTTTTGGTTCCTGGGCTTTCATCACGGCAGGGCTTTTGGCTCAAGCCCCAAGAGGGCCCCAGGCTGGTCTCCGACCCTACTGCTCCCACTTGCTCTTACTGTTCACTTCTGGTTTCCACCTGCAGAAGAAGTTAGAGAACCTCAAGAGCTTAGACCTTTTCAACTGCGAGGTGACCAACCTGAACGACTACCGAGAAAACGTGTTCAAGCTCCTCCCGCAGCTCACGTACCTCGACGGCTATGACCGGGACGACAAGGAGGCCCCTGACTCCGACGCCGAGGGCTATGTGGAGGGCCTGGATGATGACGAGGAGGATGAGGACGGTGAGTGGTGGGGCTCTCTCTCGGCTTTGCAGAGGGGGCTCTACCTGCTGTGGCTCCCGTGCTCCCTGGATTGGTCTCGTTGGTGTCTCCCCTACTAGGACAGTGAGTGAGCCCCTAAGAAACATCAGGAGGTGCTCCAGTTGCATAGTAACCCCTTGAAAACCACCTGTGTCATCGCTTCGATTTTTATCCCTTTTGCAGTGCCCCACAAGTGTGATATTTTGCAGTGTCGCCCTAGACCGGGACTTAGACACTCTCCCAGGGAGCGTGAGGTGACAGTGGAAGGTGGGGTGTGCCTGGGGACACTGCCCATCCAGGTGTCCAGTGGTAGGCACTAGGTCATCAACTGGAGGGGCTGTGGGGCCCCCTGGTGGCTGCAACCTACAGTCTCACGCCCCAGGGCAGGCAGTGCCCCGGCCTTCAGCGCTGGGGGAGGAGAGGGTGTCCCTCCTGGTGTCCCCCCATGTCCCTCGCTCCCAGCATACGTGGCCTCCCTGCAGGGGAACGCTGAGGGCTGGGGCACTGCCTGATTCATTCAGGCACAAGATTTTGCTTTTCCTTGTTTAACTGGCTTATTTTACAAGACATCCAGTGACTCTGTTGGCCTTGGTGGAGGTTTTTGTCATGGCAGATGACAACTGTCCACTGTTTTAGGGTATAGCATGATGCTTCAGCACATGCTGGAGGTCTTGGGGTGCAGAAGAAAGGACTGTGGCCCCAAGTCGAGTTTCTAGACCCTGCCCAGCTGCTCCCACCGACTCCTTGTATCGCCTGAACAAGTCATTTCCCTCCCTGCCTCGGGTGTCTGGCCTTGGAGTGGGGGCTGTGGGCTAGGTGCTCTTTCTGGGCGATGTGACTGCCTAGCTTCCTGAGCCCCGGAGCTGTCGCCCAATCTGTGGCCCCCACCATGGAGGGACAGGACTGTGGAGACAGTGCTTGCTGGGCAGGGCAGCCGGGGGTGTGTGATAGGATCAGTGCCGCTTTTGTGACTTACAGCACTCAGACCTCCGGCCCGGGTGGTGGTGGGAGTCATGGGCCTACATTGCAGACCCCACCAGCTGGGCCTGTGCTCGTGGGGGAGCCCACTCATCCCACTTCCGTTCTTGTCCCCACTGTGACTGCACAGAGGAAGAATATGACGAAGACGCTCAGGTAGTGGAAGATGAGGAGGATGAAGATGAGGAGGAGGAAGGGGAAGAGGAGGACGTGAGTGGAGAGGAGGAGGTAAGGAGGCAGCTGGCAGTAGGGTGGGGATGGGCTCCTCAGGTTCCCACCTCGCCCCTCCACAGGCAGTCCGGCACCCTCTGAGGGACTAGATTGCAGGGAGCTCTGTGGAAGAGGATTCCTGAGGCCAGACTTGCCTGCCTGGCCTGCTTCTGGGGGAAAATTAGCTCTTTCGGAAACACCAGATCCCAGTGCCTGGTGTTTGCTGTCTTGCATTTATATGTAATTAAGACATCGAGCACTTAAACCTTGTTCCAGGCAAAATCAAAGACAGCCCAGAAGGGATAAGTAGTAGGTAAGGCACTGCTGTGTCCCAAATCAGAAGGACGGGGTCCTTTCTGCACACAGGAAGTAGCACATCAGGCCTGGCCTAGTGCCCTGAGGATGGACCCAGCAAGTATGAACTGTCTGGGTCCCAGCTCTATCCCTGCTAGCTGTGTGTCCCTGGATGAGTTACTTGACCTTTCTGAGCCTGTTGTATATGTGTAAAACGGGGATCCAGATACCTTTCTCGGTGGGTTGGACAGAAAATGAAATAAAGTGAGTGACATGCTGGGGACATGCAGACTCCTTGGTGTGGGCGCTCACACCCCCACTCCACATCCCTGTACCATGTACTGGGCCTGATGTTTTACAGTCCCAGTTTCTCCACTGCAGAATCATCTTCTGTGACTTGTTTAGGCGGCTATGTCAACTCTTTGCTTTTATTTTGTGTTTAGAGACAGGATGCACTAATAGAGTTCAGGCTGGCCTTGAACTCTTGGTAATTCTGCCTCAGCCTCCTAAGTGCTGGGACTACAGGTGTGTGCCACCACTCCTGGCTCTCTCAGTCAGCTACTGCTAGCAGAAGACAGACTTGGAGAGATTTCAGGTGACAGCAGCAAGGATAGGTGCCTGTAGCCCCCGCCCCAGCCATTGCTCCTGCTCGTTTCTTGCCTCCCTCTCTTGAGAATGCAGAGATGGCTTAGGGCCTCGTAGCCAGAGTGTCCCGGATGGGAAAAGCCGAGCAGGACCTGGGGAGAAGCCACCGAGTGAAGCCGGGCTCCCATCTCCTGCTGTAGAGTTTCTCTTCTCCCTGTGTCCAGGCTGCTAGGCTCAGTCCGCTCAAAAACTGTGTGTGAGCTTTTTAAAAATAAAAACTTGGAAAATAGGTCCCCCTAGGCTAGGGCAGCAAGCTGCCCGGCTGATGGATTGTGTCTGCCCTTCCTGTCTCAAGAGCCCAGCACTGGGGTTTTGTTTTGTGTTTTATAATCTCCTTGACCATCTGCATATTTCCAGCTTCCACACAACAGCCTCAGCAGACAGAGTACAGGCGGGGAGGGACCATTCGATGACATTAGGGGAGGCTGTTTCCTGTGACAGAAAGAAGTCTGCCCTCGACAATTCTGTTTTTGTTTGTTTGGAGTTTTTTTGTATTGATACAGGATCTCACTATGTAGCCCAAGCTGGCCTCGAACTCATAGTGATCCTCCTGACTCAGCTCCAGAGTGCTAGGATTATAGGTGTGCACCACCACACCCAGCAACCCCCCCCCCCCTTAAAACTTCCAGGCAGCAGAAAACAAGGGTGGAGAGTGAAGTTGCCCTCCTGGCTGACTCTCAAGCCAATAGGGATGAAGTGGTGGTGGTGGTAGGGTCTCCTTGCCCTCCCTCTGAAGGAGTCAGGCTTTGCCGAAGCCAGGTCTTCCTTCCTTTGAAGCCAGAGCTAGACTGAGGCAGATGAGGAAAGCCCATCTGGTTTCCAGGGCAGGGAGTCTACTTGGACCTGCTGTCCTCATAGCACACAAAGTGCAGGCTGCTGGACCCCTGGGGATGTGGCGTCAGGAATCCTAACCTTGCCAGGGTGGGTAATTCCCCTGAAACCATCTGGATGTGTCCTGTGTCCTGTGCGATATGGTAGTTTCTGGGGAAGGAGTTCAGCCTTTCTGCAGATTCCCAAGTGGATCCTTGATTCAGACAGATGAATGACTTGTACACTATGCATCCAGAGCAGCAGGCCTTGGGTGGAGCTCTGAAGGGCCAGAGGCGATACATCCCTGGACCAGCAACATTTCTAACCTTGTTGTGTCCCATCTTTTCTCCTAGGAGGATGAAGAAGGTTACAACGATGGGGAAGTCGATGATGAGGAAGACGAAGAAGATGCCGGTGGTATGGCAGCCTTTTTGTTCTCTGCTGGTAGTGGCCTGGCCCCTTCATTTTGACATTAGCCAGCTTGGACTCGGAGGCCCCTGGAAGTGGGCAGATAGATGCCCATCTGTGGCCCCAGGTGCCTCTGTGCCTCGATTTCCAAGATGGCAGAGCTTCCCTTACCTGTGGGCTCTGGTTTCTGGAGCAGGGGTGAGTGACAGGTGGGATGGATGGATGTGTGCTCTAAATGCCTTTCTTTTCCTTCCTCCTCCAGAAGAAGAACAGGGTCAGAAGCGAAAACGAGAACCCGAAGATGAGGGAGAAGACGATGATTAAGTGGAATCACCTATTTTGAAAAAAATTCCTATTGTGATTTGACTGTTTTTACCCGTATCCCCTCCCCCCTCCAAATCCTGCCCCCCGAAACTTATTTTTTTCTGATTGTAATGTTGCTGTGGGAACGAGAGGGGAAAAGTGTACTGGGGGTTGCGGGGGGAGGGAGGGTGGGAGGGGGTGGAATAAAATACTATTTTTACTGCCACTCTTATTTTTTTTTTCCCCCTCCTTTTTCTTTGTGTCTGATTTTTGTCCCTGTAAATGCAAAATAGCTGAGTACACGCCAAGTGAGCATTTGTCCTTCACTCTCAAAGAGGATGGCTTGCGGGTCTCTTGTATTTCCTGGTATGTCCCATGTCCCTGGAAGTGGCTGGAAGGCCAGGGCTGGCCTCAGTCTGGTTACTCAAAGCCCAGGAGGGGCTGAGCACCAGCCCCTTTAACTCTTGCTTTGATTCACATGATTTCTGTTTCTCTCGGCCTGCTAGAGGCATCCGACGCCCTGGTTTGTAAATAGCGACCTAAAGGTGTGTTTTGGCACCGCTCTGGGGACGTTCCCCGTCTCTCATCCCTTTCCCCTTCACGGATGGTGGTGGGCTTCGCTCTACAGAGAGGATTCCGATGTTACTCTTGGGAGCTGAAAACGGCAGGCTTATGAGTTACAAGTAAAAGGGGTTTGCAAATGATAATTAAAAGAAACCCTCAAACTTCAACCTCTTTAATAAAAAACTATCCTATCTTGTTCTGTAAAATATTAGATGCTTTGTTTTACAAAAATGACAGGAGAATTCTTCCACGTGTACTCTTGGGCTTAGAACATTTTTACAAACCTAAGCACGGGGGAGATGTCGCTGCATGTCGGCTGGGTTTTTTTTTCATACACCCGAGCACGGAAAAACTAACGCAGAATTGTATTTTCTTACCTAGTGGAGATCCGAAATGACTGCAAATTCCTAGTGAATGTACAGGTTTGCATTTGTGTCCCTCTCCTGGATCGCTTTAGAAGTGATGTGTTATTTCCCAACCCATGTTTCATCTGTATAAAAGATCATCTGCACCGGTTTTTCTCCTGCCCCTCAGAAAAGCCAAACTTTGAGTTTTATGTCTGTTTGTCATTGATAAATTTCAATAAATCTTTTTATACAATTTTTGGGGGATGGCTTCTTTGAGTCCAACAGGCCCTTCATTGTTCTGGGGTGTGTTCCTGACAAACTGCTAGCTTAAGAAGGAACTTCATTTTTGCCTGATGCAACAGTTTTAGAAAATATGTAACCTGATGGTAAATTAGGATGCTTTGGGTTGCAAAGCAAGATTTGGTGGCATTATTTTCATTCAAAGCTACATTCAAAAAACTTTAAATACATAAAAGCAACAAAACTATCAGCAAAAAACATCAGACCAACCTTCGAACCTTGAATCTCTGAATCTCTTTCATTGTTTGGTATTTTCCATACTGTAAAAAGAATGTATGCTTAAACTCAGGAATATAAAACAATTTTTTTCACAAACCCCGAGATTTACATATGGTGTACTTTGTTACTCTTTTAACTTACCACAATCATTTGTCGTCCTGCACACTTGGCAAACGCAAAAATCCTAAATAGCTTCACAAAAGTCTATCAGCTGTAATCTGACTTGCTCGGTAACTGTGTGGTAGATATTTCTGATCTACCTAATGGATAAGTCCTTGGTCACTGTTGTGTCTGTTGTGCTCTCAATAGAAACTCTTAGGAGTAAAGTAGAGCGTAAGTTCTCTTACAAGGCTCAAGTGCAAGTTTCCACCGTGTTTCCCAGAACGTTTATATCAATTCACTAAACTTGACTGTACGGGCACACTATTCACTCTCAGCCTTACAGCCTCGAGCCCCATGGCCAGTCCCTAGTTTACAGTGTCTTATGGTCACTGTGTGACCCCAACAACCAAGATGCTCCCAAGAGCACCTGTGACCCACTCCACCCCCAGTCAGTGCCCTGGCAGCTGCTCCTGGGGACCCCTGCCTAGAGCCCCAGGCCTAGGACAGGAGGGGGCCTCCTAGGCGGGCTGTGCCAGGCACAGGATGCTGAGGCACCAGGCAGGCTTGTTCTCTGCCTCTCAGGGCTGGGTGAGATTGAGAGAGCAACTGGTTGGCCCTCACTTCTCCATGAGAGCTTTTGGGACCAAATGACTCCATAGATATGAAAGTGAGTATTTCCAAATGCAAGCTGGAGTAGGTGACAGTCACAGGTGATGCTGATGGACTCGGGGAGGGAAACTATTGTGCCACTCATATCAACTTCGAGAACGGTAACCGAAGCCCATTTTACAGATAGACAGGTTGGGAGGAAGTAGGGGAGAGCCAGGTCTGCAGGGCCACATCCATCAAACCTAGTCAAGAGTGACAAGAAGCAGATCTTTGTCAAGCCACTGCACGTGCCCAGCCCAGGCTTGGGTGCAGCGTCTTCATAACCACTGAATCATAGCACCTTGTAGGCTCTGTCACCTTGCTACACAGATGGCCAGCAGGGACTCACCAAGGTCATGTGGCCATGAGAAAGCACATCCCCATGAGATGCCGACCATGTGTGTCTGGCTCTGGCGCCCACCATCTTTTCCTTGCCTGCTCGCCCCCTGCCGCCTGCCACCTGCCCCCTGGCCCCTGCTCCCCGATCTGTAGCCTCCTGTGCTGGGAGGCAGCAGGGCTGCAGTCCTCAGCCTTGGCCTCTGTGGCTCTGGGGAGAGAGGCTTTGCCACCCTGCTGGCAGAGTCCTTGGAAACCACACAGTGCATCCTCTTTCTCTAAGTGGCCAGAGGTGACTGGGAAAACCCCAGAATCATGCAAATCAAGTTCCAAAACCTTGTGTTCATGCTAAGGACAAGGTGCAAGGCTGCTCAGGCCATCAAAGACATGCATATCGGAAAGGTGTCACTTTTTAACCCCCATTTGGCAATGCTCGGAGTAAACCCAGGGCCTTCACACTGTACTACATCCCCAGTTCTTTTTTTATTTTTATTAAGTTTTGAGACAGGGTATCATTAAATCGCTAAGTTGCCCAGGCTGGACTTGAACTTGCAATCCTCCTGCTTCAGGCTCCCACAGTGCTGAGATGATGGCGTGTGCCAACACCTAAAAGATGTCACTTTAAAGAAACAATGTGCAGCAGGCATTGTGGTATGTGCCTGTAATCGGGTGCTTGGGAAGCTGAGGTGGGAGAATTGTGAGTTTGAGGCCAGTCTGGGCTGCATTACCAAGACCCTGTCTCAAAAAAGAAACCAAAAACCAGAGAGTAACATGAAACTTCAGGGTTTAGATGCAGATTCTCTGGTCAGATTAAGCCCATGTGACAGCCCCCTGCCAGTGAGAAGACCTTCACCGAACAGGGACAAACTGTTCCTAAACCGAGAGAGGAGGTGCACAAAAGAAACAGACCTAGAAGAAACAAAACCTTACAGAGTGGAAATAAAGTCAGCATAAGATAAAATGCAAACACAACTTTCATAAAATAAGAAAGAAATCAGCCGATCCAACCCTTTTCTTTGACAAACGAGGAAATAAAGACGCAGAGATAGCATTTGGCCAAGGTCACAAAGCAAAGGAGTGGCGGAGCCACGCCTGGAACCCAGGACTCCTGTCCAGGGCTTCCGCCATGGTCCTGAGCCCCTACTCAGCATATGCCGCAGATCCACTGCCATGTCTGGCCCTCGGAGAGGTGTCACAACTCACCCAGCTAATGAGTGGCAGGATAAGGCTCAGTCCTTGCCAGGCATGGTGGTGCATGCCCCAATCCCAGCACTTGGTAGGCTGAAGCAGGATCACCACAAGTTCAAGGCCAGCGTGGTTCCCTGTCTCCTGGTCCTTGTCCTCTGTGTTTGCAGTGCCCAGCAGATGGGGGCAGGGCTGAGCCATTCCCTTTGTCCCATTTGCTGACTGGCAAAGGCTGTTTTTATCCTGGTTCAGAGACCCATTGTTGGTGGCTGGAAGGGTCCCATAGCAGGTCCCTACAGAGCAGTGCTGGACAACAGCAGCCAGACATCCCTCCGTGGCCCTTGACAGCCCGTGTCCAGAGAGAGGGCTGGACATGGCTGGGCAGACAGGGACAAGTCTGAGGCTGACAGAGCCTCCAAGGGGCCACCAAAATGCCAGCTGAGGCCAGGTGGGGGAGAGAGCCAAATGATGGGACATCCATCTACCATCACTGCGACTGAGGGAGCTGATGTGGGGATCTTCTGTGGATCACCTGGCAGGCATCCACCAGTTCCTCCCGTGTGGCGACGTCACCTGTAGACCACTGGAAGGACCCATGTGGAAGTGGGCCATTCTCCACGCCTGAAGTTGGATGGGCTCCCATGTTACCAGGTAGCCTGCTTCTAAAAGTGGCTTGCCAACTGAACGTTACCGGGTTCTGGGTTGCTCGTCTTTCCTTCTGGAGATTCCAGGTTCTTCTCATCTCCAACAAAGCACTGAACAAAACCAGCAAAAAGCAGTGGCCAAGTTTATTCGAGAAAGTGAAAGTGAAGAGTAGGGGAGAAACTGGCTCTGCAGAGCAAGCCTGGGCTGAGTAAAGACAAAAAAGAGGGTAAAAGAAAAAATAAAAGTACACACTGCGTCTGGGAAACACAGCATGGGCTAGCATGGTGTAGGTGTGTTCTTTATACTTTCCAAATCTCAAGGAAACTCAAGAGAACTACATATGGGTCCTGAGAGGCGGTGCTGGGATCCCAGCCTCAGGCTGACTTCAGGTCCAGGTCATCCTATTGACCACGTGCAGGGTTTGGGCACTGTTCTGCGCATGTGTCAGGATCTTATAATGAACAGGTCAAGCCTACTTCCCCAACCAGCTGGCCACGCCCTAATCTGCTATCTTACCTGGTCCCCATGCAGTTCCTAGAGTCTGCTGGTGACTCAGTGACTCAGTCTGGACAACCAGTGTGCTCCACACAACAGCCACCACGATGGTGCAAGGGACTTGGAAAAGGAGAATCTTCCTGTCAGGGCTCCTGAGCACCCCGCCTACAGGAAGTCTGCCAGCCACTGCAGCTGGAGCTGGGAAAGTCCCCAGCCAGGCTCTCACACCTGCATCTCAATCTTGGAGTTACTTCGGCCAGGAGGTGCTGACCCCAGTGAGTATATGAATTGACTGTTAAGCCAGGCGTGGTGGCCCACACCTGTGATCCAAGCACTGCGGAGGCAGAGGCAGGACTCCTCTGGGTTCAAGGCCAGCTTAGGCTACATAGTGAGTTCAGGACCAGCCTAAATTACACAGAGAGACCCTGCCTCAAAAACAACAACAAAAAGAACTGATTGTTGCTGGCCACTAGACATCGTTCTGTGTGATGCCCATTATAACCCTATTAGGCAGTCATTACTAACCTCATTCCAAAGACGAACTCCTCTAAGTACTCAGTAAACACTAGCTCACCAGTGCCTGACATAAGAGTATGAGCTGTATAAAAAATCGGCCTCCTGTTTTCCAAATTTCCCCGACAAGAATCCCTGGGACTTGGCATATCTCCAGGCCTGGGCCCGTGGGCTTTTATCAACATCTAGAGGATTCTCCTGAGGGAAGAATGGGAAATGGTGCCTTAAACTCAGTACCCACAACAGCCCCAAGAGGAAGGTTATATGGTCATGCTCATTTAAAGTTGAGGACAGTGAGGCTCAGAGAGGTTAAGTATCCTGCCCAAGGTGCAGGCGGCAGAGCTGGTATTCAAATCTGGGTCTACATGACTGTCATGCTTTTTTTTCCAGTGCTGGGGACTCAACCCAAGGGCTCGTACATGCTAGGCAAGCACTGTGCCACTGAGGTACACCCCAGCCCACTTCTACACCTTTCAGAGAAAAGGAATAATAGGGCCAGGGATTTAGCTCAGTGGTTCTGCCACCTGCCGCACAAGCACAAGGTCCCAAATATGATCCCCGGTACCAAAAAAAAAGAAAGAAAAGAAAAGGAATAATAGCAGCTATCTATTGTCTCATATACTGTGATGCTGGAAACCAGCACTGCAGAGTGGAAACCAAAAACTGTTATCTTAGAAAATGATGGTAGGGGGGGCTGGGGATTTGCTCAGTGGTTTCACCACCTGCTGCACAAGCACAAGGACCAGAATTCGATCCCTGGTACCAAAAAAAAAAAAGAAAAAGAAAATGATGATAGGGCCAGGGATGTAGCT